GCTGGCTCCAAGGCAGAAACATCATGGTGGAAGGGCATCCTGGAGGAAAGTTGCTCAGTTCATGGCAGCCAAGAAGTAGAGGGGTGTGGGAGGACCAGGAGCCCTTCCAGGGCACACTTCCAGTGACCTACCTCCTCCAACTAGGTCCCACTTCCCAGTAGTCCATTCAGCTATCAACAGATTAATCCATCAAACTGATTAACTGCTGGATGAGGTCAGAATCCTCACAATCCAATCATTGTCTAAACCCCACCTCTGAACCTTACTGCATTGAGGAGCATACTTTCAACACGTGAGTGTTTGAGGAGGACAGTCCAGATTCAAGCCATAACTAAGAAGATGGTGGATTACGATCCTGAAAATCATCTTAATTCTTTTGTAAAAGGAAATGAACCACTTGCCCTTTTATCTTTGGGAGGAAATGATGGAGGAAACCTGGTAGCTGGTAATCTGTTGATCCAAATCAGTCTTGAATGGCAATGATACAGATTAGGTAARTTTGGGGTAAATCAACCTTATGCTGCTAGTTTATATGAGTAATGAGGGCTGTGTACTCAGGGAAGCAAAGGCTTTTTCTAACAAAGGATAACTATAAGTGTGACTATATTCTTCCATCTGTGGAGTTGGCAGTAGAGTCAATTAAATCTCCGCCAGACAAAACAGAGTTTGCATAGCCATCAGTTACCTGCAATTTACAAACATATGCAAAGTAGCTCAAAGACAATGAAATTCAATAACCTTCCATAATGCGCTATGAATTACATGCACCGTTTTCCATTAAAACAATATTTTCCTTTCACTCTCCCCATTTTGATAAAAAATTATCTCAAAGAAAGATGATGATGATGATGATGATGATGATTTTGGTACCAGGGATTGAATTTGTGATTCTCCTGCCTCAGCCTCTCTTGTCACTGGGATTATAGGTCTGCACCATGGGGCCCTTCAGATTATTCTTCTTATTCTGGTCCACAAAATAAAACTGTTCTGATTAGACTTAGTCTAGTTATTTTCATAGGTAGAACATTTACCAGATGGGCATCATGTGGTGGGGCATGCCTATAACCCCAGATACTTGGGAGTCTGAGGCAGAAGGGTCACAAGCAGTAGGCCAGTCTGGATAACATGAAGCTGTTGATTCTATCTTCCATTTCTCCCCCCACTTCACATGCGTGTGCCTCTTCAAAGTTTGTTTGGTAGGAAGTTTACCTAAAGATATCAAATTGGCAACTCAGGGGCAGGAGGATCTTCAAGTTCAAGGCCGGCCTCAGTAACTTAGCAAGGACCTAAGTAACTTTGTGAGACCCTGTCTCAAAATAAATAAATAAGAAGGGCTGGGGATATGGATGTGGTTAAATGCTCTTGGTTTCAATCCTTGTATTAAAAAAAAAAAAAAATTGGACTGGGCTTTCAGTAACCACTTAAGGCCAGAAGCTAGGAACTTGCCACCAGATCTGGTGAGGTACTCTTAGCTCTGGAAAAACTCCTCTCTTCTTCAGTTTCCCAGAATATTCTCAGGTCCCTGGCCTTCCAGAAAGTCATCTTCATTACAATTCCAAAATTGTGGGAATGATGTAAGCCAGATACCAGGCTGGTTTTCCCAAAAGGGCTTTGTAAACACTAGCTCCATAAAGTCAATCTCAGCTCCTTAAAAGGATCTAGTTATATCTGATTAAATGAGCAGCATTGTCAGACGGGGAGTGTATTTCAGTAGTGGAGTACTTGACTGGCAGGCTTGAGGCCCTAGGTTCCATCCCCAGCACTGGAAAAAAAAAAAAAAAACATCATTCTCACATATGACCTTCCAGGTAAGTCCTTTATAATAACCAACCGTTTCCAATTATTCCCCATTAACATGAGGAGAATTTATGACAATAACTGGTATGCCTATAACAACACAAATACACAGTAGGAGTTTTAACTTTTGGAATGGTCAGGCAAAAGGAAGTCATTTTTAAAATGATTCACTTGTTTATGGAAACAGTGTATAAAATTGTTATGAGTTTTAGGTATAAGGCAAAATATTCTAAATATATTTTTTAACTTTGATATAAGATGTTAAACTCTAAAACAGTTAAGTTTTAGATAAAAATTTAAAATGAAGTTTTGGGGGAAATTTTTAATAATATTGTCAATCAAGAAAACAAACTATATCTACTTTCTGTTTCCACTTAGATCACAGAAAACTCCAGGATTTCACATAACCATTAATTGTACAATATTGAGGTCAGAGCGATTGTAGCTAGTACGCCAGAAGAGATCTAGTAAGATCTTGTAGTCCTCCTGCCTCAACTGGAGTCGCGGGGATTACACAGCAAACTGCTGAGACAAATGGAATTAATCACTCTGAAGTTACACACACAAAATCTATTACCTTAGAAAATTCGAGAAACACACAAGCATGGGCCACCCTGGGACTCYTGGAGTGGGAAAGCTGGGGTTTGTGCAGCACTGGCTGAGCAGCCCGTCTGGCAGGCTTGGGTCAAGCAGGGCACTCCTCTTGCCCCTCAGGAAGCTTCCCCAACCCCTGTGGCCTGGGCCTGGCGGGCCAGATGACCATGCAGCCATGACCTCTTGGAGGAGAGCGCTCCTGGTCCCACCTGCATCCTGGGCGCTCAGAGAAATCTCAGTGCAAGTGAAGGCATTTCCTGCCTGGGACCGATAATGCGCTTGGGGACCCCTCCACCGGAGCTCGGAAAGAAGCGCAGTTAAATCATTACCCACAAAGCCCGCCCCCAGTGGCTGTGAGCCCTAGCTGGGCTGCTATCTAGTAGACCTGCAGCCGCGAGGTCCCCTTCTGTTTTTTGAAACACAGAAGTAAGCAGCCGGTGCAAGAGGCCAGTCCGCAGTGCTCAGCTTGGCATTGTCCTTTTCTTTGAAATAGACCGACCCGGGCGCAGGGTGCCTCCGAGGCGGGAGATGGTGCTCGAGGTCGGCCGAGGACCCCAGACAATGGCTCAGGGATTCCTAATTAGGCAAGACACTAGAAAGCCTCAGCGAATAGAGAGAAAAAACTGGGATGAGCCCTCGGCTAGGCATCCAACACTCCTGTTCGAGGTGGTCTGTTTCCTCAGTTTCCAGGAAGTTTAAGGAGACCTCGCAGGGAGAGAGCCGGGATTAAAGTAGTGCCGGAGGGCAAGCAGAGCCGGCTGGTTGGGCTGCTCTCCAGCGCCCCTTGTGGGGAATTAGCGCTTGCTCCACCCAAGTGTGCGAGCTTCACCAGTTCCCGATGCTGTGCCCAGGACTCTGCAACTAAATGCCAAGAGCTTTGGACATAGCAACAGCCCAAAATGCCCTTGTAGGTAACTAGAACATGTCACCTCAAAATATACCTCGCTGATAATACATATTTTGAGCAAAACACAATTAAAATGAGCTGGGGATGTAGCTCAGTGGTACAGCCTGTATTCAGCATGCTGTTGGTCCCGAGGTGGGCAAAAAATAGTTCTCTCTCCTTCTCCTTCCCCACCAGCTCAATACAGAGAGGGCAGGAAAAGAATGGTCTTGGGGAGCAAATAAGCCAAAGATCTACAAAAGAAAAAACTACTGGATAACTTACCTGTTCTGCACATTTGTCCTGAGACAAACAGAATTAATTACTCTGAAGTTACACAGTCTACTACCTTAGAAAATTCGGGAAACACACAAGTATGGCCCACCCTGGGGACTCCTGGAGTGGGAAAGCAGGGGACCTCCAGGCATCATATCACAAATTYACAACAGTCATTTAAAACGTCTACAAATTAGGTTGGGTTTTCCAATCAATGGATTCAGGAAGCATCTTCAAAGTCTTTCAGGCATTTACTGCACTAAAATTGACAGTTGTTTCCTAGCACACTTGTCAGGTCCTAGGAAACGAACAATGACAACAGACCCTGTCCTCAAGGAGCTGGCAAAGCTGTGAACAAAGACTATTGCAACTTGGAAATAGTGAACACAGAAAGTGAGGGCTATGGAAAAATAGACCCCAGGGAATTTTCTTTACCTACAACTGTTCCCCTAAGTACCCTCCTGCCAGGTGTGTGGGGTGATGTCTGTGATGAACTGGAGCTTTTGTCAATGCGGTAGAATACACTAGAAGTTCAGGCCTCAGCCAGAGGGAATGCAGGAAAGGCAAATGGGGCAAGCTCTGAAGGGACTCGTAGGTGGACCCCACCTATAGCTGAACTTGCTGTCCCCAGTAAAAGAACAGGTCCCAGGGAACTTCCCTTACCTACTTCTCCCTACTCGCCCTGTCCTAAATGAGTCCACCACTTTATGAATAGACAAAATTCTTCCTGTGACCTGGCCCTGCGAAACCCTATAAAATTTACTCAGCGCCCTGTTGTATCCCATCTCCATTTTCCCCTTGAAAAATGTGCCCCTCTGGGGCTGGGGATGTGGCTCAAGTGGTAGCGCACTTGCCTAGCATGCAAGGGACACTGGGTTCGATTCTCAGCACCACATAAAAACAAAATAAAGATATTATGTCCACCTAAAAAAACTAAAAAATAAATATTTAAAAAAAGAGAAAATGTGCTCCTCCATTGCTTAATAGAGCATCGACGATCTGTTGAGTTCTGCATCCCTTTTTCTTTTTGTATTTGCTTTCAGAAAGTACACCTAAGTTTAAAAGAAGTAGCAGAAGGTATCAAAAAGCAGCAGGCCTAGGAGGCCGGAGGGTGTGGCCTGGGTGTAAGGAACACTCCAAGATGTTATGAGAAAAGTTGCAGAACACAGGGGACTGACCAAGCAAGCGATCAGTCAGGAGATGGGGCTGAGGCACTGAAGACCCAAACCAGGTATGAGGCAGAGGAACCACCACATCTTGCACATGGGATGTAGAGAGGTCGAGGATCTTGCCAGGCCTCTGGCCCAAACCAAGACCAGAAGACAAGCAAGGTCGAGGTGGGTGTTAACCGTTCATTTATCAACTGTGACCTGGTTCCCAAAGAAACCAAATTAGTTCTGTGGGTCTAAACGTTTTTAAAACTTTATTTTGAGATAACTAGATGTGCGTGCTGCAGTAAGAAACGAGATCCCTCCATACCACAGTATAGCAGCCCATGTAGCCATTGACAGTCTGGACAGTATTTCCAGAAGGGTACCTTGTGTGCCACACACCCCAACATTTAATGCTGCCAGGACTCGTCCAGCGGCTACAATCCAAAGAACCGGTTCAGGCACTGAGAGAACGACTGGCAAGAGGTGCGGGGCGGGCCAGCAGACCAGACCTCGAGCCTGTCCAGTCTGCACAGAGACTGCCCTGCACGGCCACGCGCGCCACCGGCCACGCGCGCTACAGGCCCCGCCCCTTCCGCAGAGTCCACCAACCGCCGCCATCTGGCCAAGCCACTGCTGCCGCAAACGAGGAAAGCAGGAAGCGCGTGACAGCGCTCCTCTCCGTCGCCGTCCCGTCGGAGATGGCAGACCTCCACCGCCAGCTGCAGGACTACCTGTCGCAGAGCAAAGCGGGCAGGCCGGCGGAAGCGGAGCAGCTACTCGCTTCGGAGACTGCTGAAGAGCCTGCGGCAGGGGTCGGACCGACGGGAGCGTGGCTTGGCCGCGCTGGCCTGCGGTGGACGTGGCCGCGAAGTCACACGGAGCCGGCGGCGGCGAGCCAGGCGTGCCTGCCGAGCGTGACGCGCGGGCAGCAGCTGGCTGCGGGTGGAGCCTGTCTGCTACTGGCCGCGCTCTGCTTCTGTCTGGCGGCACTCTACGCGCCAGTGCTGCTGCTGCGCGCGCGCAAATTCGCGCTGCTCTGGTCGTTGGGCTCGGTGCTGGCTCTCGCMGGCGGCGCGATACTGCGAGGCGGGGCGGCGTGCGGACGTCTGCTACGCTGCGAGGAGACGCCGTCGAGGCCCGCGCTGGTCTACGCGGCCGCGCTGGGAGCCACTCTGTACGCGGCAATGGGTCTGCGCAGTACGCCGCTCACTGCGCTGGGCGCCTGCGCGCAGGTGGCCGCCCTACTGGCCTGGTTGGCTAGCCTGCTGCCGTGGGGCGGTGGCACCGCGCTGCGCCTGGCGCTCGGTCGCTTGGGCCGCCGCGCAGGCCTAGCTAATGCGCTGCCGGTGTGAGTCCTGGACCTGCGCCGTCAGGGAACGACGCAGAACCTTCCCAGAACCCGGCGCCTGCCGAGCCAAAGACTGCACCCGTCCACTCCCGGACTCTACCACCGCAGAACGTCCTAATGACACCTGCCGCTTAGGGCGAAGGCGTCGTCCAGACGGTGCTGGCGAGTGTAAACCTTTAGCAGCTGTTTCAAGCTGCGACACCAGCGGTTTCCGGTGGTCCTGATCTCACCGTTTCGTGCTATCCTGAGTAGCATGTGCTCTGAAAAGGAAGTTTTGTCGTGGAATTGGTGCTGTGAAGCTGCTCTTAGAAGTTCTTTTTGCACTGTGATTTTAGATTGAGCTGAGTAAAAACGGAATGTCTCTTTGCATTAGTTGTTTTTGTGGTTTTTCTCAGGCTTAACTTTTTATTTTGTCATTTTTTTTTTAAATCCAGTGGTAGATGTTGAGCTACAATAGCTTTTTTTTGGGGGGGGGGTGGCTGTACCTAAGACTTGGAAATTATTTTCCCTCAGTCTTCAGTGTAAATGAATCTCAGAAGAGTAATCTAATGTAATCTAAGCATTACATTTAACCACTGGATTTAAAAAAGTAATTAGTTAAGGAAAAAACCGAGGTGAACTGTTTTAAGAGAAATTGTAAATTTGTTGCCTTATGTAACATTAAAGGAAAATTCGTCCTGAATTAGATATGAAAGTAGGGGAAAAAAAGAGACATTTTCTGCCCCAAGTTGCCTGGTATCCAGGAAGATGCTGGTAAACCTTGGAGAGGTCTCAGTGCAGAACTGGGCTAGCAAATCCTGGGAACAGGAAGGTAATTCTACTTTTAGAATTCCCATATTTGTTGGAAATTATGGATTTCTGCAGACTATCACTTCTAATTGTATTTCATTTTTAAAGCAGTTTACAGTTTATTTGTCTTTTCCTTTAAGTTGTAGATGTACACAGTACTTTTATTTATTTTTATGTGGTGCTGAGGATAGAAACCAGTGCCTCACATGTGCTAGGCAAGTGCTGGACCTCTGAGCTATAATCCTAGCCTGTAGTTTACAATTTCCATGATGGTCCTAACACAGTGTAAAATGCTTTTCATATATACTTTGTCTTAGGTTCAGTGGTTACTTTTTCCTACTAAATTTATTGCCAGAAAGCAGGGGTCCAGAAAAACTACAGGTTTTACCATTAACTATAAACTAGTAAAATATATTTAGAATTTAAAAGTTCTGTGCCAATGGTTCTTACACTTAACTGGCACATCAGAATTACTTGAAGAGCAACACTTTAAATAAATTCATTCAGAATCTCTGGAGGTGGGATCAGGCATTGACATTAAAGCTCCTCTGATGATTCCATTTCAGCCAAAGTTGATAACCACCAAATGCACTAAAAAGTTGCCCTGGCTTGCGCAGTTTGAAAATAATTGTTTTTGGGGGGACCAGATTCCAGTGTTGCCCTAACATATTGTGTCAAGCAGCAGAAGAGCACTGCTTCTTCCTCCAGTCCCCAAATGTACATTTTTCTGTCCTGATAATGTCCTGAGCCCTTCCCCAAGATATGATACTGACTGAAGTGACCAACATCCACAGGTGGGCTTGTGAGCTACCACCCCGCTTAGTACTTGCTAATACTGCCTCCTCCCCTATTAATAAATAGGGTTGTCTACCTCAAAAAGGTACATTCAAGTTTTCAGGAGTAAGTTATTTTTACAATGGGAAAGACTTGTGCCATTGAGTGCTCTTTCTAGTCCCCTAGTTAAATTTCTATTCTAGTTTTAAATTTCTCTAGAATATGCATGGCTGAGGATTTTAGTGTTTGACATATTTTTATATAGTTCTTAAGCCAGGATTTTAAAAATTCTTGTTTTCAGCCTGACACAGTGACACATGCCTGTAATCTCAGCTATTTGGGAGGCTGAGGCAGGAGAATCCCAAATTCAGGGTCAGCCTAGACAACTTAGCTAAATCCTGTCTCAAAATAAAATAAAAAGAACTGGGGATGTAGCTCAGTGGTAGAAAGCTTGCCCAGCATGCCCGAGGCCCTGGGTGGATCCCTAGTACAGCAAAAAACCAAAAATGTCCAGCATTTTCYCAATTCATTGAAAATCTTGTTTTCAAAGCACCTTATCTTGTATTTATTTGGACAATGATGTTTTAAAATGCCATACATACTATATTTCTGAGTATTTTAATAAATGTATAATGTAGAGATTTCTGTTTTTCTCTAAATTCATTCTCAAAATGTGATCTGGGTATCTGCTTTCCCAGGAACCAGTTATAAAGTTAAACTCTAAATGCTAATAATTCCACATGAAGGAAGGGAACCTAATTTCTATGAGGATTTGGTCTTTGGATCCTTTTAGCTTCCTGGAATTTGATTATGATTTCTTTTACTAATGCTATACAAGTGGAGGACAAATAAAGAATATCCATAAACCTAAAGCAATGCTGATTCTCCTAAYAGTGTGTTAATAGTAGGGTGTGGGTAAATGTTTTTAATTTTGAAGTAAAATGAGAATTATTTACTTGGAATCTTTAGGTYGTAATAACCCAAAAATGTACTTGACATTTTTCTCACACCACAGAAAAAACTTGGCCTTTATCATTTTTCCCACTAATACAGCCAGTTCCTATTTCTGTATGCTATCCAACTATGTCAGTGTCCCTTTCCTGAGCAACCACTGAGACTCCAGCACTATTAAGCCTGCCAAGTACACCTGTCTGTCTCCATTGCCAAACTGAAGCTGGCAATATAATGATGTTAAGACAGCTACAGGACTGCCCTTTTAGTAATAAAAAGTTTACTATAAAATCACCAGCATAACAAGTGGTCTAACTGAATTTTTGACTTTCAATCCAAATTAAACCAAACATTTCTTAAATACATGACAGGAATTCACCATTGACAAGAACGTTTTAGCTTACTCTAAAAACTATTCTCTCCTTTAAACACTGGTATTTCCACAAAGCTAGTATGGAAGAATTAAGGTTTTGCAAAACAGATATTTCAGTCCCTTCCTTCTCAGCTTAGTGTGTGAAATGGCTTTAAAGTTTTCAAAAGGATGTATGTAGTTAACCTCTAACTTAAACCCAGGTTTTTCTCATCAAAACAGAGCAATTCAAATCTAAAGTGTGGTTACCGGGAGATGTACCCAAGAGCCCATAGTTGGACAGCCAGATTTTGTTCTTGAGTATAATTTTCCATCTGTCAGAGCATGTCTGAGGCTTTTGAACTACATTAAAGTATTCCTCACTGTACAATAAAAATGGTATGAAAGAATATTCAGATAGAATGTTAAAAAGCACCAAGTTCACAAATGAAATTAGATAACCTACCTGTTCCCTCAAGTCTCAAGTCTCCTCATTTACATCAGTAATAACTGTATGACCCTCAGCAGATTAGATACAACGGAAACCAAAGATTTCCTTAAGGCAAGCACTTCACGACTGGTTTTCTGTTAATTCTTGCGTAAATCACATTCTGTATTCATACAAAAACAACTTAATGTTTTTTTCTCTGACAAACTGTACATATATAGAAACAAATTTCCAATTGGACATGAACTTAAAGTTGTGGAGGTGTTCCATGTCTCGTGACACTTTAAAAATAAAAAAAAAAGATTCCAGCTTTATCTTCACAAAAACAACTTGGGAGTTAGGGCAATGAGGGTGGACAGGACAAAACAAGTCTAGCTACTCTGGGTAGCTGGCAGCAGTCTCTTCATCTTGAAGACCTCATGAGGAGCTCCTGGGACTCAGCTACCCCAGAAGAGTTCAGGGCTACAATAGTGCGGGCTTCCTTGTGTTTCACTTGGTAAGTCCACAAGTTCTTAAATACTGTCCAGAGAGGCCTAGTACCCACTTCTACCGACCCCTTCCACCACCCCTTGAAGCACCTCGCCTTGGTGGGCCAGAGTTCATGTTGCTCCCTCTACCCCAGTTACTGCCACTCCGGCCCCCTCGAGAAGGGGTGCCACTGCCTGGAGGACCCCCAAAAGGTTCGTCTCTATGGTATCCATCATGGTGGTCTCCATCCAAAGAGCTGGAACGCCCAGATTTTGGCACTCTCTGAGAAGGTCCCGGGCCTCCTCGGCCTGAAATGAAACATTGATATCAAACGTGACTTTTTACATTAGAGATTGCTTATCAATAACTCTAGCACAAACTTCACTGTATAATGACAGTGGACCACTTCAGGAATGTCTAATGGATATGCCTCTGCCTCTTCCTGACCACTACTTCATCCCATCCTGGCTCGAGGCCACGGTCCCCCAAAGCTGTGCTGCAGATGACAGGAAGCCAAGAGATAAGTATGGAGCACCCCAGGGAAATTCATAATACACTGGGCCAGGTGCCCAAACTATGGGAAGTGTATCTTCACTCTCTTGTGCATTGGGGTGTTTGAGGAAAGGTTTCAAAAGTAGTGACTAAACTCTGGAAGCAACTAAGATACACAAACCACTGCTGCTCTTAATAACAAGATTCCAGCTAGACTCAGCRTTGACTCTGATTGTCCCATAACATTTGGTGCTTTGGCTTCCTTTTACACAGTTTATAAAATAGAATGTTTCTTGAAAAATAAAAAGAAAAACACTGCCTCTCAAAATTATTTCTCCTAGGGATGGGCTTGTTTCAGACTCAGACACAAAAATGTTAGGTATTATTAAAATTTTCTCTCTTTTTTAATATATTTTTAAGTTGTCAATGGATTGATTATTTATTTGTTTGTTTATTTATTTATTTATATACAGTGCTGAGGGCAGAATCCAGGGCCTCATTCATGCATGCCAGATAAGTGCTCTACCAATGAGCCACAACTCCAGCCCTAAAATTGTCTTTAAAAAAACTTTTCTCATGAAATGATAGTATTTGGTCCCATCTCTCCCATAATGTGCTCTCAGATCACTAATGCCAACTTTATCTTGAAATTTTGAACAGAAGCTGAATGTAGCTGAGATGCAAGATCAAGGGAGCTGGCCAAATATTATGGCTTCTCTTCTCACAAAGCAGCACAGGCTGACTGGAGGGTAGCTGGGCAGAGATGCCATCATGTATATCATTTCCACACCAGCTACATGTCCTTAGCCAGGGAACATGCAAAGATGTCCTGAGTGCCCAAGAATTCATCCAAGACTAGTAACAAGATATCTATTTGAGTGGGCAAGATCTGGTGATACATGACTCATTGTATTTTGGGCGGGTGGGGGTGGGGTTACCAGGGGTGGAACCAAGGGGCCTTAACCACTGAACATCCCTAGCCCTTTTTTGTATTTTATTGAAAGACAGGGTCTCACTGAGTTGCTTAGGACCCCACTAAGTTCACTAAATTGCTGAGGCTGGATT